GATCGCCGCCGGAAGCCGCCGCACGCGCCCGCACGCGCCACCAGAAGGTAGCAGCTTTTGGGACTTGCACCGGCGCGTGAGAGAGCGTGAGAGGTCCGATTTCCGATCGGTCAACGCCGTTGACTTCACCGTGACGTCAGCTTTCTGGATTGGTCAAGTTTGTTCGATTCCGAGAAGATTTGATTTGCGGTCAACTGTTCGGGCCAACCAGATCTACATAAATTTTAAGCAGTAAGTTTTCTTCATCAAACCTTTAGATCCGCTGCGCATAGGTTTATGTTGAATGTTTGTCCGTGATTTGTGCATATCGAGATCCTCGTGGGTTCCAACAGCCATCTGCGCCTCGTGAAAAACCCTCGACTCCTCCGGCGTGAAGCTTGGCCTCAGCAGCACGTACAAACTGATCATGAGCCTGCTCCTGCCGGATTCTGTCTCTCAACGTAGGCTGAATTTGCATCGAGCTAACACTCCCTGTAATCACTGCAAGAAGCGACTCGACGACTTGGATCTGCATCCGGGCAAAGTCTTGGATAAGATAACGCTGCTGAGTAATAGAACAAGATAATTCGCCCTTTACCTTTCGGCTCAAGGCATCAGCTACAACATTTGCTTTCCCCGGATGATACTGAATCGTGCAGTCATAATCTTTAACAAGCTCTAACCAACGCCTCTGACGCATGTTGAGCTCCTCTTGCGTGAAAATATACTGCAGACTCTTGTGATCGGTGTAGATCTCACATCGACCACCATAAGGATAATGCCGCCATATCTTAAGTGCGTGTACCACTGCAGCTAACTCCAGGTCGTGAGTAGGATAATTATGTTCATGGGGCTTCAACTGACGTGAAGCATATGCTACAACCTGGCCGTCCTGCATAAGTACACACCCCAAACCTCGCTTCGAAGCATCACTATAGATGGTGAAACTCCGAGAAGGATCGGGAATAGTCAGCACTGGTGCCATCGTAAGTCTTCTTTTCAGCTCCTGAAAACTTGACTCACAACGATCTGTCCACTCAAACTTCACAGACTTCCTCGTCAACTGGGACAAAGGGAGGGCAATCTTCGAAAATCCCTCAATAAATCTGCGATAGTAACCTGCAAGGCCGAGGAAACTACGAACCTCGGACGGATTCTTTGGTGCTGACCAGTTTTGTACTGCAGCAATTTTGGAAGGATCTACTTCAATACCTGCTTGAGTGATAATGTGGCCAAGAAAAGCCACTCGCTGAAGCCAAAATTCGCATTTAGAAAACTTTGCATATAATTTTTCAACTTTGCATATAATTTTTCACGTCTAAGGGTCTCAAGAACGGCCCTCAGATGCTCTTCATGCTCCTTCTGGCTTTTGGAATAGATAAAGATATCATCAATGAATACAATAATGAACTGATCGAGAAAAGGATGAAATACACGGTTCATCAAGTCCATGAATACTGCCGGGGCATTACTGAGGCCAAACGGCATAACCACAAACTCGAAGTGACCGTATCTCGTATGAAAGGCTGTCTTAGGTATATCTGACTCCTTGATTTTCAGCTGATGGTAGCCTGAACGAAATCAATCTTAGAAAACATGCAGGCACTCCTCAACTGATCAAATAAATCATCAATCCTGGGAAGCGGATATTTGTTCTTGATCGTTAACCGGTTAAGATCCCGGTAGTCGATACACATACGCATAGATCCGTCCTTCTTCTTGACAAAGAGAACGAGTGCTTCCCAAGGTGAGACGCTCGGTCGTATAAAACCGAGATTCAGCAACTCTTGAATTTGGGTCTTTAACTCTTGTAATTCTTTAGGTGCCATTCGATACGACGCCTTAGAAACGGGTTCGGCTCCAGGGATAAGATCGATAAAAAATTCCACCTGTCGGCTAGGTGGACCGTCGGGAAGCTGATCTGGGAACACGTCCACGAACTCACGAACAATAGGAATTTCATGAGGTGACCGTGCTTTTGGCTCATCTCCAACGAGGCTCACAAGGTAACCCTGGCAATCTCCCCGTCGAAGAATCCTCCTGGCTTTCGCCATAGAAATAATATGGGGCAGAGTACGAGTCTTGGAGCCGAAATAAGTGATCTTATCATCTCCCGGAAGATAAAGAGTAATCTCCCGATCATGACATCGGATATCTGCGTAAAAACGTGTTAGCCAATCCATACCAAGTATGAGGTCAAAATCCCTCATCTCGATAACATAAGCATCAGAAGTCAAAATACGGCCGCCGACGGAAAGGCTGAGATCGGTGGCTCTGGCGTCTGTCACTATATTTCTTCTCGAGGCCAAACTAACCTCGAGAGGATCGACAGTGGTAAGAAAATGAACTCCTACAGCTTCGAGACATTGGCGTGATATAAAAGAATGGGTTGCTCCGGTGTCAAATAAGGCATAAACAGGCACATCATTAAGAATAATCATCCCAGACATGGTACCTGGGTGCTGGTCGGCCTCTCCCTGATCAAGTGCAAAGACGCGGGCCTGCTGTCTGCCGCGTTGCTATTGCTGGGGTCNTGGTGGCTGCTGCCTGGGTGGTTGCTGTTGAGGTTGCTGAGGTGGCTGTCGTTGTTGCTGTTGTTGTTGCAGACGTTCGGGACAGTTGGTGCTGATATGGCCTGGCTGGCGACAAAAGAAACAGATGTTCTGGCCCATAAGGCATTCTCCGCGGTGGCGTCATCCACAAGTGGCACAAGGTGGGGTCTGTTGTTGTCGGGGGCGGTTCTTGCGATCGTATGGACCTCCTCTGAACTTCCTCTTCTTCTGGTTCTTCGATGGTTGGGCAACATTGGGCTGGGCTGGTGGTTGAACAACTGGCTGGGCTAAGGTCGGATGGGCTTCTCGTCGGATCTTGGCATCTATCTCCTGGGCAATGGCGACTGTGCGGGCGTAGGTCTGGATGCCGTGACCTACTCATGTTGTGGCGGACTGCTGGGAGAAGTCCGTCGGTAAAACGAAGAGCTCTCTTCTCCTCTGTACTTACAAGATCAGGTACAAAGGATCCGAGTCGGGTAAACTCTCTTTCGTACTCGTCGACAGAACGAGTACCCTGTTGGAGTGCCAAAAACTGGCGCTCTATGTCTGCTCGGTAGTACGAAGGATAGTACTTTCCACGGATTAACCTCTTGAATTGATCCCATGTACAGCCTTCTTTCTCTCCGGGACACATACTCCAATAGGCATTCCACCAGAGTCTAGCATCACCGGTCAGCTGGATTTGTGCGCATAACATACGATATCGATCAGGACAGTCCATGACCTCGAAAATCATTTCAAGGCCCTGAACCCATTCGTCCACTATACGAGGATCTCCTTGGCCGGAAAACTTCTCTGGATGGTAGTCGCGAAAGTGTGCGACTACTGTGGCCTGAGGGAGCTCTTGATGATCTGGTTCTCTACGAGGCAGTATCTGAATATTGGAAAAGATCAACGTAATCAGACGCAGACATGATAAAATACTTTACTGATTATTAATGCGCACAGATCTCTTGACGGGTTGCTAATAATAATCCTGAGAAACTAAAGTCGAAATGTCGAATAACTGGGACAATTGACTTATACTGGACCACTAATTCGAGCATCTTACTGACTTCTAGGGTTAAATATCTGACACCCTTTCACTGAGCATAGACTAAAGTATCCATTTAAATATATATAAACTGTAACTCAGCACTTACCTGTAGTCGGTGAGGCGTGAGCGTAGCGTGGTTGGATCCTTTCTGAAAATTTCTAACTTAATAAAGTATTCAGATACACAAAAACGTGCTCTGATACCATTTGTAACACCCCGCTAGCTTAATAAAATCAGAGTCAAATTTTCGCAATTTGTTTTCTAAAAATACGTATTAATCTTGCGAAATCAATGTTCGAGGTGCTAATGAAAAACCATTCTTATTTAAAATCCGTTATCTTTTCTAACTTAAAAGTATTAAGAAAAACGGACTATCTTAGTTAACAGGCATGTAAAACTGTATATAATCAGACTGACAAAACTTGAATATTTACATGCGAGTTTGTAAACCTAAAAGTGACAGCGGAAGTTCAAAACGTGGCAAAACATATATATACATGTCCAAAAGTCTATATAAACAACTACAACCACCGGCTCCGCTCACTCCTCCGGACCGACTCTGTCACCTGAAAAAGAATAATATAGTGGGGCGTGAGCACGAAAGGCCACTGTGCTCCGCAAAAACTCATACTAAAGTAAAACAGTAATAATAATTGCAATATCATGATCTAAAGCATATATAACTGAACTGTCATGTCATGTACTGTAGATGCGATCAACTGTAACTGCTACGTGATCTAATACTGTATCTGCTGGCTATAATATACTGCGCCGCGCCTATGTGCACACTCTAGTGGGCAGATTACGCCACTAGAACTCAGATGGTCTTACTTTGTCTAGCCTCACTGAGCAGGAACTGAATATACATACCTTGAACATGATAACTGTAATTATACTCAATGTAATACTTAGTCTGAGTTCCCACCTGAACTGTTATATGTAAGTGCTGCTGCTGATCAATCTGAAAAAAAATATATATAAATAAACAAGTACTAAGTACTATGCTCAGACTGACTGAAAATAGCTGTTAAGACGCTCGACTCGATCTAAATATTTAACTGAAATATTTTTGGGGTTTAACTTGACTGACAAGAAAACCGGACTGAACTAATACCGGTAAACTGAACTGACTGGACTGAAAAATTAACTAAAATACTGTACTGGATTCGAACCGAATCAATAAATACTGAACATCTCAAAAATCCGGTCTAAACCGGCTGGTTCATTTTCTGGCCGGACCGCCGGCTTGCTGCGGCCGGGCGGTCGGCTGCTGGCTGACCACCGGCTCGGTCCTACGCGCACGCTGGG